AGTAGACTGAATCTTTGCCAAAGCAGATGGGTCTTCAAAGGTGGTGCAGGGTCATTAAAGGTGTTGCCAAGCAGGGTGTTCTGCAATCTGGATGCTGCTACCAAGAACACCCTGTCAATTGCATGAGATGTTGGAGGGGCACTGCTGGCAGGCAACATGACATGGAAGGGGACAAACAGGAAGAGTTGTAGTTGCCATTGATCCTACAAGCTTGAGGGACTGACAGACCTGTGAGTACTGGTTTGGAATTCATCAACCCTCCTAGGGGTAAAGGTGGGTAGAGGTACAGATGGATCACTTGCATTCTGTCATTTTGCATAGATACTAAACTTCCCAACATTTTGTTTGTGTTCTCTTCCTAGAATCCCAGAGAGTGGACTAGAAAGGTCATCAGGAACATTGCATGTTCTGGCAAGTTTTCAAGTGACAGGACAATTACGGAGTATGCCAGAGAAATCTGGGGAGTGGAGCCTTCTGCGGTGAAGATCCCGCCACCCAATATACCCAGGGAGTGAATCTGTCACAAGAGGTGCATGCAAATACCCGGGTGGGCTTGTCCATGAAAGCCCTCCTGCTTCCCAACAAATTTTCCACAGATGAATTCAAACATGCATTTTTACTAGTTCTTGGTTGTCTATAAAGATATGGTAGTTACTGAAAATGGGGACATCTGGTGCTCGGGATGATGAGGAAAATAAAACAGAGTTGCCCTAGAGCCGCCTTGGCCATGATAAGATTCAAGATCTAAAGCAAAGAGTTCAGCAAAGAAATTGAGATAAGACCATTTTCTTTGTTAAAATGCCTATTTAAACAATGCATCTTACATGCATGCTCTGTATTTTGAGGGCGTACCCGATTTTCCAGCTGTTTTTCATCCTCCAGGAGCCCCTTCTGTTTAAAGAATCAGAAGAGGCCTGTGTCAACCAAACCAACAATGGAAAGTCACAGGGGGCTTCCCTGATTTCTTTTGTCGTCTAGAGAAGTCTGGCAGCAGCACTTTTCTGATTCCGAAGCGTGCATTTCCCCCGAAAATGTGTGTTCCCTCATTAGCAGAACCCTTGCTGACCTCAGAGGGTTCTAACTTAGCCTCATTTCAAAGAGTCCATTTGTATGGATTGGGGGAGGGGAGGAATTCAAATGCTCTTTTTTATCTGAGAATGTGGGCATTAAGTAACATGTTGAAGGTCCTTTGAGGTGTTGTTGGACTGCATCTCCCATCAGTCCTAGCCCACACAGTCAAAGAGGGAAGGTTATGGGAGTTGTAGTCCAACAAGATCTGGAGGGACACGTGTCCCTCCCCCCTGATATGAGAGTTCCTATATGGAGCAATTTATGATAGCCTTTGGAGGTACAAGTGGCTAATAGGACTCAGCCGTGCTGCCAACCCAGTGGCCTTCTTGCATCAGTCCTGTTTCTAGGGAGCAATCCCTACCTTATTGAAATGAAAGAATATCTAATATCCAAATCTCTTGGGTTTTAATTTCCAGCATTAGTGCCTGTCTTTCTTCCATCTTGTCCAGTGCTGGCAACCTTGGATGCTGAAAAAATTCATAAATTCATCTCTAGGTGCCAAGGAAATGGATTGGCAAAGTGTACAGTCCCACCCAGTCTTAGAGGGTGGCCACTTGATTTGCACTTTAACAAAAGGATCTGAAATGAATGTATGTTGCTAGAAGCAGCCAGGATAGGGGGTTCATTTTAAGTGCTGTTTCCACTTTTCAAATTATTATTTTTTACATAAAGAGGTATATCTAACTAGTATACTACTTTAAGGAAGTGTAGGGACATTCTCTGATGTATTCATTGTCTTGCTTATTTTCTTTCTCATCAGACTAATCCGGATAATCACTTGATTCACAGAGGACCAAAGGTGAAAGTCTGTCTCTGTGTAGGGTGTGAGAGTCTAGATATAGCTGACCACTTTCTGAATGAGTGGCTAGCACAGTCAGTATTAACTATTTCAACGGGAAGGAATTTCTCAGTAAAGACAAATACCTGGTCAATGTCATCAAAGCTGACCGCCATGTCCACCTGCTGAGATGTAAAGATGCAGGGCCAGTAAACATAGGAGATGAATGTGTACCCCTTGTCTATTAAATACCCTGAAAATATACCTGGGATGTCACTGCTACAAAACATTGGTGCATAATGTTGCATAATGTCATAAAAAATAACATTTTAGTTACTATTTTCCATTTCACAGAAATGTGCTGTATTCATCTAAAAATGTTTCCTGTTTTATTGCATCACATGCAAAGAATCTGTCATCAGTATGTCTGATGGGAGATAAAATACATCATTCCTGTCTTACGTGAAGCATAAATTAGACTTATTAAGTACCTTTACTCTTCTTGTACGACATATTGTGATAACTGAAGGATAATCCATACAGTGTTCCTTAGAGATGCAGGGGATCCAATTGAGGAGGTTTATATTTGCTCACACCTGGATGCACAGATGTCTCTTGTATTCAAGAATATCACATAATTGCTGATCACAGACCACAATCGCTGTTGGCATCGGAATCAACACCACAAAAAAACCAATCAAAAGTGGATAGTTCTGGCACTTATATGTTTCTTGCTTGGGTTACAGGCTTTGAAATAGTCCCAAATACAATGAGTGCTAGACACAACAATCCCAAGAAAAAGAACACCAAGGAGCAGAGAAGTAGGTCAAGCAGTGGAACAAAAAAAACACAGAACAAACTGCTTGCCAGGGGAGGTGAATGACTCTGATGTCATGGAGGTGGCGAATCTGCTCTGGGTTTTAGTCCAGACTTCAAAGCAGCTGCCCAAGGTGCTGAATCTGTTTGAGAGATTGAGTAACTTGAGTAGCTTATGTAAAGCATAGACTAAATCCCGGAGCGGATTCATGACCTCCATGACATTGGAGTCACTTGGCCAACACCGCCATAACCCTCATTACTTCCTTTTCTAGTCTTCTGTTTTCTAGAACAAGCTTTCCCTAACCTGTGCCTTTTAGAAGCATTCATTTTGGTTCAGCAGTGGTTAAGCTGGTTGGGGATGATGGCTACTGAGTTCAGTACATGTAGAGGCCACTAGGTAAATGGATAGCTGACATGGTTCAGCACACCACCCTCAACATATTGTACTCTTGCAGGAATGAATATCTTTGGAGAAGAAGCAAAGAAATGACCAAAGACTCTTAGAGGGCAAATGGATTTCATGTTTTTTTTTCTGCTGCTGGACCCAGTTGGCAAGCAGAGAAGTAGGGATTGTGGGTATATTTATTTATTTTTACAAGATTTATACCCCTATCTTTTCCTTTTAAACATACACCAAGCAGTGTGCAGTGCATTAATATTTGAAAATATAGTATTGTAATAAAGACAGAAATAAAATAGCAAAACAGAGTAAGGGCTGCAAACGGTAGAGATGTAAAACCCATTGTTTGTTAAAAGCTCAGGAAACTGTAAGTGGACTCAGTCTGGTTTCTGTATGATGGGAAGGATGGCCAGAAAAGCTTCCAGAGTTAAGATGTCACCATGGAAAAAAAAGCCTTCCCTTCTTTTATTATTGATAAACGATTATGATTTCATTATGGAAAGATGAACTTGACTGGCAGTTCATGTGAGAGATGATTGACCGTCAGGCAGAGTTTATAAATGTTTCATTACTACTCCCAAAATCCCGCATGACACCGGCCATGGCGACTGAAGAAATTCTGGAACTTGTAGTGAAAAAGAAACTTTTTCAGGCTCTTGTGTTTATGTTGACCCCGGGTTGGGTGGAAAACAGCGTTTATTTCACTTGACTCCATTTACCTTTGTCTGCCTATGTGGGAATGCATTTATTTATTTATTTAGAGGAGGGAACCATATATAGGTTCTTCTGTGTTTAAAAAGATTTCAGATGCCAGTCATTTACTTGACTAAAACTGGTGTCATGCTGGTGCTTGTGGATCATGCAGCCGTTTCCCCCTCTCAACTCTGTGTTTCCCTCTCGATCAGATTTCAAGGCTGTACAGAAACTGTAAAATGTGTTTTTCAAACTATAGGAATTCCATCAGTGAAGTCATCGCTTCAGATTTTGGCCTCTTCTGGTGGTTTTTTAAAAAAATTACTATTGTTTAACTTTTTTCCTCCCAAAATTGCCTGCAATTTCTTATTCTGACCTACTTTTTTGGCCAGATGTGTAGATCATGAGAAATCTTTCTGATGGCACAGGAGTTACTCCTTGCTACTGCCAAGAAATCACTCCATTTCTACTGAGAAGACAAATGCCCTCCCTCTGTATGAAAAGATAATGATTTACTTTAACATTATGTGGGTTCATATTTTATTATTATTTATAATGACTTTAAGCAAACAGGCACATTGTTTCCAGTAATGCCACCTCACTACAGCTTGAGCCTAAAAGTGTTGCATGCGTGCATGCAAATATTCTTGGTTCATGTGTGTTCAGTACAGCATCCTTGCTATCACTTTACCATTATACTTCCAAGATTTTTTTTTAATGGTCTTTACACCAACGCTGTACTCCAACTCCTATTCCAAATACTGTATATTGTCTCTTCAGACATTGATTGCAATGGTCAAAAGCAAAGAATGTAGTTCTTGCTGGCATCCTGAATTATCCAAATGCTCTGTTACTTACAAAATAAATGTATGTTGGCATCGTACCACTTTCAAAAGCGGTGAGACTTGAGTTGGCATGTCTCTGTGTGTAGATGATAACATTACTGTCCCCCCCCTGTGCTTTCCAAATGATTAAAAAAAATCACACCCACAAATATTGTTCTTGCTTTCTCTGTGCTTTGAGTGGCACTATAAAACTGTTCTACTAAGGCTTAACACAGGTGCTCAGAGACAGAGAGACAATGTGATGGGTAATTTTTTGCCCTTAAAGAAAGATGGCTGGGATTCCATGCTGAACCGAAATGATTCCATGCTGAACTGAAACCTATGGCATGGATGTGATGCTTTTCATATGTTTATCTCCTTCCCACACTGATTAGCTTAAGTAGCTCCTGAATGACACTCCTAGAGAGAGCGCCCCCATGTGTTTTCTAGAAGTTTCTGGGAAGTATTCTGGGATAGTCATGCTCAGTCTTTGATTTTTTGGGACTCCCAGAAGACAAAAACAGCATGGCCCACAGCAAGAGATTGTGAGATGTCAAAATCATTCAGAAGGCCACAGATTAAAAAAACCCTGTTGTGAGAGGTTCAAGACCAGGTGAAATTCCCTCATAAAGGAAAAACTCTGCGAATATAGTGAAATAGGGTGTCAGTTAGAATGCACAGTGTTACAACTCTTCTCAATGATATGACAGACAAGGGACTTTCCCCCCCCAGTGAGGGATTATTCAAAGATGTATGCCATGCCTGCAGCTTGATCTGGACAATATGTATGTACACTATATATATTCTTCAGACTTATCCAATTGTCCTGCAAGAGCTATACACATGGGCTGGAAGGAGGGAGAAGATGGTTGGTGGTATACCAACAGCCTTTCAGGGAAGCCTATTAAACATTCCTTAAGTTGTTGAGGACTCCCAAAAATGTATCATAAAAAATCAAAGGTTCTTTTGTTGTTGTCTCTGATCTAAACAAATTGTGAGTCACAATTGCTGGAAATCATACCCTTATAATTTCTGAGATAAACAAACATGGACTGGTTACCACCACTATGCTTTCTGCTGAATTACCCAGGGCCACATGGATACTGTAGTTACAATGAGAGAATACTTTGTATTGAGTGGATATTAAAGTAGGCCCAACAGAATCAGAATCATAGAATAATTGAGTTGGAAGGGGCCTATATGGCCATCGTGTCCAGCCTCCTGCTCAAAGTAGGAACCCAAGTCAAAGCAGATCTGAAAGATGGTTTCCAGTCCAGCCTCTTGCTCAAAGTAGGAACCCAAGTGAAAGCAGATCTGAAAGATGGTTCTCCAATTTTCTCTTGAATGCCTGCAGTGCTGGAGTGCTCACCACCTCCGAAGGCAATTGTTTCCATTTTCATACTGCTCTAACAGTTAAGAAGTTTTCCTGTATTCAACCTAAATCTGGCTTCCTGTAGCTTGAGGACATTATTATGTGTCCTGCACTCTAGGATGATCGAAAACAGATTCTGCCCCTCTGTCTTTCAAGTATTTGAAAAGTGCTATCGGAAAACAGACTCTGCCCCTCTGTCTTTCAAGTACAGTATTTGAAAAGTGCTATCATATCTCCCTTCAATGTTCTTTTCTCAAGGCTAAACAGGCCCAGTTCTTTTAGTATTTCCTCGTCAGGCTGATCATCCTTGTTACCCTCTGAACTTGTGTTCTTTTCTCAAGCCTAAATAGGTCCAGTGCTTTTAGTATTTCCTCATCAGGCTGATCATCCTTGTTGCCCTCTGAACAGTTTGCTGGCATCCTTCTTGAGTGGAAGCATTATTCTCAAGTTGCTCTCCTACTCAGGTCTCCTTGTAAAAACATCTCTTCTAGTAAATGTTCATAGCAATATGGATTTGGAAAAAGATGGGGCTGCTTATAAAGGATGAACTTCCAGAGATCTGAAGACAGTATGATCAAATGTATGAGCACCATGAGCAGAAGAGCCAGTTTGCTGGCATCCTTCTTGAGTGGAAGCATTATTCTCAAGTTGCTCTCCTACTCAGGTCTCCTTGTAAAAACATCTCTTCTAGTAAATGTTCATAGCAATATGGATTTGGAAAAAGATGGGGCTGCTTATAAAGGATGAACTTCCAGAGATCTGAAGACAGTATGATCAAATGTATGAGCACCATGAGCAGAAGACTGCCATAATAAATTGGAGGCTATCATTTGTGCAACAAGGCATCATACTTTCCTCTGGAATTTACCATGTTGTTTTGTTTTAAAAAACTAGATGAGACAACTGTACTAACAGGTACTCAAAAAGAGCACACAGGAGACGGTGTAATTGCTAACTTTTTATTCCTAGGGGGTGTTCTGGTTTTCAAGGTAATATCTGGTTATGACAAACAGCCTCCCCCTCTATGTGGGCAGAAATCAGCAGGTGTGTAAAATGTAGGAGTATTCAATTTTTCTCGCAGCTGTTAGCAAACAGAATGATTCACTTACGATTAAGCACAAGAAATGTTACAGTAATTAAAAACATGTTTTCATTCCATATCTTTAGTTTATTTGTATCCTGCTTTTCCGTCTATGGAGAGACCCAAAGAAGCCTCAGCAGGCACTCAGAAGCTTCAAAGAACTTCCACCTAAAATTTTAGTTAGTTAAAAACAGCATCTTTTTTCTCCTGCCTATTCAGCTGTCTCTTTTCGTACATCTAAAACTGATGAGGTTTCAAAGTGTAAAAAAACATTTAGCAGCTGAATAGGTGCTGCAGCCAGCTCACTGGAGTAAAATGGATCAGGACCAGTAAAATGGAATCTCATTCTGGGTGTCCCTACACATAAAAGAGTTCTTTTAGAAAGTACATCTCTTTGGGAATTGTGAGAAACAAAGGGCATTATACCTCTCCATGCTACATACAACACCAGGAACCTTTAAAGAAGACTAAGAATTTTAAGTGAAATGAAAAACCCATATGACTGCAGTCTAGTAAAGCCCAAGCAGTCTAATTTGGCAGTGCATTTAAAAAACAGCAATAATTGACTGGGTGTGCATGCTAATGAACATGCAGATAATTCAGACACTTTATGCTTGAATTGGCAACAACAATTATAACAAAAGAATTGCTAAAATGTGAGCCACAATGCAACAGAATTTCCAATATAAAGAACACTATTCGCGAAGGCTTTCACAGCCAGGATCACCACTATGCAACAGAATTTCCAATATAAAGAATCTGAAAACTGTATTCGCGAAGGCTTTCACGGCTGGGATCTAATGGTTGTTGTGGGTTTTTCGGGCTTCTTGGCCGTGTTCTGAAAAAAAGCCCAAAAACCCACAACAACCAATCTGAAGACTCTCTGTATATGCAAAATAGTAGAAACTGCATAGAGACACACCTTCATATTGAAAATTACTTTTTTAAGTCCCTTACATTTCCAAAAAGAGTTGTTACATACTGCATACTTCTTCTCTGTACGTATATGCAAAATAGTAAAAACTGCATACAGACACACCTTCATATTGAAAATTACTATTTAAAGTCCCTTACTTTTCCAAAAAAAGAGTTGTTACATACTGCATACTTCTCCCTTCAACAACACTGGGGTTAGGGGCACCAGACCTCAATGTACTTCAAAATCTGTGTATAACTCTTATGCTGCAAAAACGTAACGACAAGCATAAACAGTTGATTCACACGCACACTAGTTCTATTGAGGTTCTCTTCCATAGTGATGATAATCTTTTCCATACAGTACCATGTGTAATGCGAGGTTCTCTTCCATAGTGATGACAATCTTTTCTATACAGTACCATGTGTAATGATCCTTAAAAGTCCTTACAACCCCCTGATCTAGAGGTGAATTAGAGATGTTGTGTTTGGAGGCAAGACAACCACCTGATCTAGAGGTGAATTAGAGATGATGTGTTTGGAGGCAAGCAGAACAATTCAATGCCTTTAGTGTTCAACTCATGCCCCTGGTTCTGGGGCACAGTATTTATTTGTTTGTTTGTTTGTAAAAAATCCATGTATCACCAAAACCTTACTGCTCACACCTGTGCAATTCAAGGAAAAGTGTACTGTAAGACATGTACAAAGCCACTGTACAGAATTTTCCATCACAACAGTCAAGATACATTACTGCTTGCCGAGTACATTTCTTCTGATAAATTGGATCACTGAAATAAACCACTTGTTTCTGCACAGTCCCAGGATGAGTCATATTGGACAGGATTCAGACAGACAGCTGTGCAGGAAGAAGGCATATGCACATGAATGTCAAATGTTCACCCATTTCTATCTATCCCTACCTGCATCCCTTATGCCCCATCCAAGGCATTCCACAGACATCCCTGTCGTGGGGGGTCGGGAAACAGATGTGTTGAAGGAGGATGCAAAGACTGTAGCAAGGAAGCCTGGACATGCAAGCCCTATTATCCTTATGATGACAGTGGTTGTTCTACAAGTTCAACCTGACACATCAGTAATTTCCAATTTATGTCTTTTTGGTCAATATAGGTAAAGGTTCCCCTTGACATTTAGTCCAGTCGTGTCCGATTCTACGGCGCGGTGCTCATCCCTGTTTCCAAGCCGCAGAGCCAGCGTTTGTCCGAAGACAGTTTACGTGGTCACGTGGCCAGCGCAACTAGATAAGGAACGCCGTTACCTTCCCATCGAGGTGGTACCTATTTATCAACTCGCATTTTTACATGCTTTCAAACTGCTAAGTTGGCAGGAGCTGGGACAAGCGACGGGAGCTCATTCCGTCACGTGGATTTGATCTTACGACGGCTGGTCTTCTGACCTTGCAGCACAGGGGCTTCTGCGGTTTAACCCGCAGCACCACCACATCCCTTAATCAATATAGTTAATATAGGTCAATATAGCTTTTATTTAAAACAAAATCAGGCTACCATGTAATAAATTAGAGGTCATTTGCTTTATTAAAACTACACACATTTTATTTTTTGATAAACATTTCCATTCCAATGCATGTTACTGGCCAAATAATTGGAACATATGTGTCAAAATAAACCACACTAGTGTATGCTTTGGAATCTAATTGTTTTTGAATGGGAGGAATTGTAATTTCCACATTGGTTTGTATATTTACCAACACCGAGGTGAGCAGCAGCAGCACTAGATGGAATGTTCCATTTACTTCAACAAAATAGTGTTTCTTTTTATTAGTGCAGTAAACCAAAACACATTTTCATTTGCATGTATATGCATGTGCCTGTAAAGGGAGAGAGATGTAATTTTATGGACCATAATACATGATTACCATGAATCACAATTGTGTTAGACCTTGCTACAACAGAAGAGTCTCAACAAAGAGAACAAACTATTGCCTGATTTGTAAGTATGTCTTGATGCATGCAAAATCCATGTATTTTGTATACAAACAATATTGGCAAACTGTACCTGCTATATATGTAAATATGAACTCATTTCTGAATACTAGTGTCTAAAAACTATGTTCAATATGGCATGTTTACAGAACTATCCACTTTAGAGCCAAATCCGGTAAAGTAAGGGGCTACTGAGAAGCAATCAGTTTGAACTTAACAGTCATATTGCTTATCATAACCTGACTGCTGCTCACAAAGCTTCAAATTTGGCCATGGCAGGGCTCCATGTGTCATGTGTATGACACTCGAATTGTGACTTTAAATCTTAAAGCCGACAAATACAGAAAGACTATTTTGAAGACTTATTTGGGCTTATAGGACCAGTACCGAAATAGGAAATGGCAGGTTTCAGATAGAGCCTGGAGGCCACCTGAGTCTTCATGCTCTCTGCTCCAGCAATCCTCACAGGTCATTAAAGTGGCCTTCAATCCTTGCCATATTAGATAAGATATTTTTGAAAAATTAATACAACAACATACAGGCAAACAACAAATAGCTCTATTGGTCCACTATCTGGTATCCTTATAATAGAGTTCATTTTACAACTGCCCAAAACAGGATCCAGAAACTGCAACCATTGTTCTAAGGTGATCACATTTCAATCAAGTCTGCAATAATCAAACATCAGTCAAGATACTGGTAATCTAAAGGGCGCCACAGAAAGCCACTCCACTCCTCCCTTTCGTATGAGCGAGCAAAGCAAGTCAGTCAGGATGGCAATGCCCCTTACAAACAAAACAGGAACCAAGACTGCTTCCAGACAAGCCATGATATAAAACCAACTTTAAACCATGGTGTCATAGCCTAGCTTTTTCGAGACTTAAATTACCTTTAATTATTGTTTCATGGCTACATTTTGCTGCTCACAGAAAGAAGCTAGCAAAAAGTCTGCAGGCAGGTGCCAGAGCCTACATGTGTGTACCTTGCCTTATTAAATGCTATGATCTTCACTGTTTGAAGCAGAACACAAGAGACTAATAAATGATTGCATTCATGATGGGGTCAGCACTAGTAAGAAAGATATACATGAAAATCGGACTCATTATTTATTACCATGAGATACCATCCTGCCACCTCCTAAATTTGAAAACAGCAAGAATTGGTTTGCTACAATAAAAAAAGAGAAACAAGTTTTTATGCTTGGCATATGCCAAGTGAGGGGAACATTTTAAGCTGGTCAGGAAGCTTTCGTATGCTTCAGGCTTTTAATACTAATAATATAAGCAACAAACTAAAACCAGTATTAAATTTTCTTAGAAAAAGATGTATCAATAAACAAGGATTAAAATATTAACAGAAAACTGTTTAGATTTCAACACACTTTGTCGGTTTAGATAAAACTTGGGCTTTCACACATGTATGTTAATGTTTTCAGTTCTAGGAAGTCAGAACCAAAGTATTATTCCTAGAAATGTAGAGTATTCATGTAACATCTCTTGCATTTAAAAAGAAAAAGAAAACTTCTGACCAGCTCTAATGTACCTGAGTATTCTGTAGGAAATGGATGGTTGGGGGTTTCAAACATCATGACTCCTAAAGATGGATATCACTTTTCTTTTTACCCCCAAAGTGCTTAAATGTCTCATTATTAAAGGAGACTGGAAGACATCTTCACCACAGTGGAAAAACAGACTCCATCTATTCTACGTTTAACCTCATTTACCAAAGGAGTCCTTCATCTGAGTGTGTAATTTGTAGTCAATACATTTTACAGCACTTAGGGATGAACACATCTAAAGAAAATGGTTTGGAAATCAGCAGAAAGAATCTTAAACAGGATGCATCTGTATGAGGTATAGTAAAGATTTTATATATCTATAGATGTGAGACAGCTAAGAAACATGAAAGCAAGGCAACAGAGAAAAGGAAAATTATTTACTACTGAATTATAACTGTTAAATAGATGCCTATTTTCCAAGCAGATACATCCTTCATTTTCACTCTGAAATGCCTTCTTGCAAACATTCTATCTCTGATTTCTCTAGTAATTTTAAAAGCCAAAACAGGCCATCATTTTCTCCAACGCCCAAAATAGATAACTGACAGGAGAAAAATATCCCTCATTCTATATGAAAAAGGCCTGCAACTCAAGTCCACAAGGTGCAGTGCTAAACTAACGGTTACATTTTTAACCACAGTCCATTTGCGCTGCTGAGTGCAAGTTTCTTGTCTTGTAAAGCGCTATTGTGACCTAGCACACATTTGTAGGAATGTTCACAACATTCAGGTGTTTTTAAACCAAGTCTTTTCTTGTGCTTGAACTTCATTATTTCAATTTGTTCGGTTCGCTTCTTCCCTAGGGAAAAAAGGGGGAAAGGGACAGAAGCCGCTACATTCATTCATTCTTCCTATCTACTGTCCCACGGGCTGAGATTCCAAGGATATGCATTAGGACTGAAGCAGGGAACTGTGACTTATCCTGTGCCTGGGTTTAAAAGAATGGCATACTTTTTCTTCTTCTTTTCTAAGAGGACACAATTTTAAGTGCACCACACAGGCAGTCTTCAATGATGAGGCTTATGTTCAGTTTTTCCCAGGAATTCCCTAGGAAGGAAAAAAAGTTATCAGCAATGTTTATAGAGACAAAAGTTTAGACATTTTCCTCTTTGTCTCTACCCTCTTGTCATTTTGCAGCTAAGAATTTTCAGAAGACCAGGGCCCCTAACAGTTAAAAAACAATGCAAGTAATAAAGGGGAATACACCTTAGTTGTCCAAGTATGTAGCCTGTGTTGGTGAACTTCCTGGTAATACCAATGTTTGCATTTGCAAAATAGTGAGGCTGAGAAAGAAACTACAGCATGCTAAGAGCATCATGGCTATGTCTAAGATGGAAATGATCACCCTCCACACATGTACCAGAGCAAGGCTAGACATAATAACATGCAGTCGTGTTTGTTTATTCATGTACCAGGGGAAGCTGTGTGATCACATTAAAAAGGGAACCTGTGGAGCGCCTCCTTCCAATGTAGGTCATATATTGAAGACCACAAGTAAGCCAAGTTTGGAAAGAAATGGCTGAAGTGGTGACAGAAGAAAATACCGGAGAGGAAGGGATGAGCAGGTTCAACCTACGTATATCATCCGTGGACACCTATTTTAATGTAAAAATCTGATCCCATTCACTTCCCACTGATTTAAATATGAATGAATCAGGTAACTGAACAAACATAGTCGTACCATCAAGACTAGTATGGTCCTTACTCTCAGATACACAAATCAAGTCTGCTAAGAAATTGTCCATCTCACTCCTTTTCAGTACATGCACACATACTCCTCCTCCCTCCCTCAATGAATAGTTCAAAATGAGGCATCTTTGAAAGGAAAGAGAATTATGCACAATAATAAAATAGCTGTAATACCATCTCTCAGCCTCTCCCTCCTCAACTAGATGGATGGACAGAGAGACAGACAGATAAACATATACACATTTTTCATGACATGCAACTTTTTAATACAACCTATAGAAGCTCCACTCACACTTAATGAATATCATAAATGACTGTTAATTACCGTAATATTCGAGGTAGTTCTGGGCTCTTGTAGATATATTTATGCCTATAGCCTAGGTCTGTGTGAAATGGAACGAACTGTACTTTATAATCACGGAAGCTCCGAGATGGGGCAGCAATATTGTACAACTATTTAAAAAAAAGAGTACAAAAGTAAATGTTGGTTGATAGAACAAAGAGGTACATAACCTAGCTACAAAAAAGTATTACACAAAGTAGTAATGTTTATTTATATCATCACCTTTGGTTTCGCTAATTATAGTGAAATCAAATTTTGTCTTCAAAAGAGACAAGTGGAGTTACATATTCAAGAACTTTCTGGTCTCTGACTATTTTTATTTTTTTATTTTTAAAAATAAAAAAGATACAGAAAAAAGGAGAGAAATACAAAACTTTTAAAAACTTTAATAACCTAATACCCTATAAAGATTACAATAATGTGCTCTCCTCCACCAAGACCATCTAGAGATATGACCAATGATCCTTCCATTTACATGGAATCAAAACTGCATTGATTCTTGCAAAGGTGCACAATTCTTCCCCTTTATTAACACAAAATTGATAAAATCTCCCCAAATAGCAATAAAAACAATCTTATTTATCTCAGGCTTCTTTAGTTTGGTGTTACAAGGTAATTTATCACCAACAGCTATATTCCAAATTTGTTTATACCATTCATCTACAGTGGGGTCTTGACTTGAGAACTTAATCCATATTGGAAGGCGGTTCTCAAGTCAAAAAGTCTGTAAGTCAAGTCTCCATTGACCTACAGTGCATTGAAAACCGATTAATCCCGTAACAGGCCGTTTTTGTTTCATTTTGGTTTTTTTCTGGTCTGTAAGTCAAATCTCAGTCTGCAAGTCAAACCTAAATTTTGCGGCTAGAGAAGTCTGTAACTCAAAAAGTCTGTAAGTCAAGCCGTCTGTAAGTCAAGGGTCCACTGTAATAGAAAACCATGCTTTCCATTTCCTTGCTATTATTAATGCTGCTGCTGTCTTTTGTTGTCCAACTCCATTGCCCTAATCAAATATTGATATGAGACTGCTCATAGGACAAAATTCTTGAAGACCAGTTTCCAGAATTTCAATATATTCTCACATTCCTATTACATACGGAAATATAATAGGACTGCAGTATACATAGGGGATGAGTTCCAAGACTCCACCCCAAGATGCCCCAAAAAAACAAAAACAAAAACAAAAAACCTGAAGCTCTGGCCATCAGCTATGCAGCATAGGGTTTAAGGAAGTTCTAGTCCAAGAATACCTGGGATCCCAAGTTTGGGAACCATTACTTTACTTGATTATGACCTGAAAAATACAACCCTATAGAACAAAAATATCTCTGCCATCCACTGTTTTTATAGGGAGGAAACCCATGTGATCTTTTTTAAACCGACAGGTGTGCCTTGAGGTCGTATCTTTTCATCACTGTCACAGAAAGTAAAGCTGTCACTTTAAATAAAACCCATGAATAGTATATACCTATGACAGGTTTATAAGTATATGTTGCATCCTCCTGTTCATTTAAAGACAGCAAGAAACCTTACTGCTTTTTTAAAGTATTGCCTCTATACTAGCACCTTCCTTGTCTAGCAGATACAGTGGTGCCCCGCATAGCGACGTTAATCCGTTCCAGGATTAACGTCGCTATCCGGATTTGTCGCTATGCAGGGGAGGGAACCCAGAGGAACACATTAAACTCCATTTAATGCGTTCCTATGGGGCGAAAACTCACCGGTAAGCGAAGATTTCCCCATCCGGCCACCATTTTCGCTGCCTGGTAAGCAAGGGCAGGGCGCGAAAACGGAGCGGGCGGCCATTTTATTCTTCCAGCGGCCATTTTGGAACCGCCGATCAGCTGTTTTTAGAACATCGCAATGCAAAGATGGGTAAGCGAAACGCAATGCGATTTTCGCCCATTGGAATATTGCAATGCGATCGCATTAGCGATTGCAAAAAACGCATCGCTATGCGGATTCGTCGTTAAACGGTGCGCTCATTAAGCGAGGCCACTGTAGCTAAGAGGCAATTTCATTGAAGTTTGAACCCAAAAGCCTTTGGTAATGAAGATCTAATACTCAGTATGAGTCAGTGGGCCATGTTCACCCCATCCACTTTAACAACTGTTGCTATAAAGGCAAACAGTATGTATTGCAGATTAACTAGCACAGAGCACATGTAACATTAATTTTGTGTTCAACCCCAGTGTTCCCCTTTTTATGGAAGCAAACATGGCCTGTGCTGTCCTCATAACATTAAACATCCCTTGTTCGGAGACTTGGGAATCACAGGGCTGGGAAATAAAAGCTGCTTCAGTGACGTGCAATGCTGCAATGTTGTAGTGAGAGAAGCAATGGCAAGCAGGATACAGAAGAGATATAACAAAGTTAGTTTTTCCTCTAGTGCTGCCTTGACTAGCCCTCCTTTGGCTGAGTGCTAGACTACAACATCATCTGCCAATGAGCAGAAGAGCATACCAGTGGCTGCTACCTGAAGGCAAAAGCGATTTTTCCTATGGCTTGTTGAAATGGAGCTGCAGTATAAAAGTAACTGGCAAGGAAAGGGTTAAGCATAACCATTCCACAAAAGATACAGTCACTCTGATAACTTCAGTTCATAAGTTGGATGTATTTCTGGATTCAGAGCCAAGATATCCTCAGATCTTGGTGGTATCCAGAAATGCATTTGCACAGTTGAACACAGTTTATCAGTTGCCCCTTGCTCCTGGAGATGTCTGACTAGCTTATGGCGGCACATGCCTCAGTTACATGTCAAATGGATTACTGCAATGTCAAATGTCAAATGGATTACATGTCAAATGGATTACTGCAATGCCCCCTACATGGGATGCGCTGGAAAAAGGATTTAGAAACTTCAACTGGTCCAAAATACTTAGCCAGACTATCAATGGAGGCATGGAACGTTATAAGGAACATATAACCCCTTCCTACAGTAGCTTCACTCATTACTACAGTAGTCGATTTTCCAGGCACAATACTGGATACTACTGGTTACCTCTGTATATCTTGGTCTTGAATATTTGAAAAACTGTATTCTCTCATATAGTCCTGCCTGATTTTTGAAATCTGTAGGGAGAGGACCTTTTGTCTGTCAAATCAGAGACTTTTTTGGTCTCTGATGTGGGGGGCGGCTTCTCTGTGACCATTCCTAGACTTTGGAACTCTGTCAGAAGAGGCAATGATGTTTCCCTCACTGTTGTCCTCCTGCCAACAGCAAAGATTTTTCTTATTCAAACAGGTCTTTGTGCTAACTGGATATACTCATTTTTTACTGTTCAGACTGAGTATTTTAATTCAGCTGCCCGATATTTTCCCTAATATGTGAAACTGGTTTGTTAAACTATATCGTTAGTCACTTAAAGTTCCAGTCCTGGGAGCAGGATGGCACAGAAATTAAACAAACAATACTGTTACATGTAACCTGCAATTTAGCCCACAAGTCCAGCTGCACAGAGTTATGACCTTTGCTACTGGTCAAATTCATTCATAATACTTGTAAGATTGCAGGCAGGGATGCGCGACTGCAACTGCATGGACATACCTTCTTTCCAAGATGAAATGGAACTACAGGATCATCTTCAGCATGAAGAATAAGCAGAGAACAGGAAATGTGTTTCACACTGTAAAAACAAACATCCAAAAGCAACATCAAGATATATTTCTAAAAATCCACTATCAGAGCTGAAGTTATTTTGATTACAACATTTGAATACAATCCTTGAAATCATAAACTCTCCCCTTCTCAGATGCAACCTTGCAAGAACTTTCTAACAGCAATCTAACTGTGTAATGTAATTCAGAATGTGAAGAGTCATTAAGATGCAACTGTTGCTTTCCAGCTAAAAATGAAATACTCCGAAATAGTACAGTGGTACCTCGACTTACGAACATCTCCACTTACAAACATTTTGAGTTAATAATGGCTCCATTTGCAAAATGTTGCGACTTGCGAATGGAGCCTCAACTTATGAATAAAAAAAAACATTTCCTGCCCTTTTTTTGTCCTAAGTTCATCTTAGGTCAAAAGAAGAAAAAAATAAAAACATTTCTCCCCCTAATGGTAGAGTACAGATTAACCGGCTTTGCATTAGTTCCTATGGGAACTAATGCCTCTACAGTACTTGCAAATAGCACCTTGACATACGAACGAAAAACAACCGGAACAGATTAAATGGCTTTCAGTGCATTCCTATGGGAAATTTGCTTTGACTTACAAACTTTTCGACGTATGAATGCCGTTCCAATACAGATTAAGTTTGTAAGTCGAGGCACCACTGTACTTACAAATCTTCCTTTTCCCAGTAAAAAAAATGACAAAAACAAGTTACGAAGTTAAGAGTTAGCAGAGGTGTGGAGGCTATTCAGTGTATTTAACAGAGTGTCTTGTTAACTATTTAACATCAGAGAGAAGCCACATGAATGCTTGTATTGAGCTCCTGTTTTTCGTAAAACAAGATAGCCAGAGTGGTCTCACATTCCAAATGCTGGACAGGAACCTCAAAGATCTAATTAAGCCACAGAGCTCACTAAATGACCTTGGACAGTCACAGTCTGTCAATCTGACCCAGCTCATAGGGTTATCTGTGAGAGTAAAATGAGGAGGAGATAGACTAAGTTTCCTTGCATTCATTGGTGGAAACATGGAATATAGATGTAACACATTCTAAAAAGCTGACTCTGAACACAAAATAGTTGGTCTGCAGAATCTGAGAAGGTTAGAGTGCGTGGGAAAGATCCTCAGTGGTGTCATGGCAAGTGTCCAATTTTCAGAATGATAGGTTTATGCACTGTCACTGGAATCCATATTTTGAGAAAACGACGACCCCAGAGGCAGAACTTGTACTTACTTCTCATCATTTGCAAACTTAATTCCACTTGATGTTATAGGGTCAAGAAAAAACCAGTCAAATCCTGGGAAGTATCTATATATCTGAAGAAAAAAAATGCTAATAAATAAAAATGCAAACTGTATTATTTAGACTTCTACTTCTTAACAAGATTTTGTTTAAAAATTCAGAAACAGTAGAACATCTCATACAGAAAAGAGGCCAACAATACAGCATAAGGATAAAAATAATTTCTACAGAAGTTTGTATTCAGATGTTTATGGATACAATCTGAAATAAATAAAATGCAATAAATTTCATGATTGAATTTTATATCCATTACTGATGGTTGTAATTTGATGATGTCTCAAATTTTTGTGTCTTACTTTTTCAGCGTAGACCCGCCAGCGTGGCCTTGTTGCCAGATGGGTGGTATAAAAGTTGAACAAATAAATGAAGTAAATAAATAATCAAGAAATGCAAAACAAAACAAAGCAAAAGCAAAAAAAAGCACCTTTCTTGTTCCACAAAAGCTTACATCAAAATACAGCAGAGAGTCTTTAAGGTGCTGCAATGTCTTTTGTTTGATTTTGTTTTGTGTTTCTTGCTGATATGCTTGCCCATACTGTTGTCTAAGTAATCTGAAGAAGTGGCTACAACTTCAAAATCTGAAATAAAGTTTCTGCAAAAGATTTTCAACTGAGTTTTCCACATGAAGGGTGTGCCCAGTATTTATCAGGAAAAGAGAAGCAAATACCACTTCTTCAGATTACTTAGACAATGATATACAATGCCCTGCCCTGTTCTTTGCCCTTGTAACCCATATGCAACATTTTATTCCAGCACCGCCTCTCTCTGAGGTATCCAGTGATTCAAGGACATGTTTCGTTCAAATCTACCAGACATTTCATACTGTTGAGTCAATTTTGACTTATGGTGACTCTTTTCGGGGCATTCTAGGTAGGAGGTACTCAGAAGTGGTTTCTCATACCCTTCTGGGGGGGAGCATCCTGGGACTGTGCAGCCTGTTAAAGGCCACACAAGCTGACTCTTCCAGGAGGCACAGCGGGGAATCAAACTCCCAACCTCTGACTCCACACCCAGAGACCTAAATCACTGAGCCATCCAGCCAATATGCAACTCGGCAGCCAATAATTTACTTATTACTTCAATGATACTTTCAGACAAATTTTCCAAGTTTTTGTTTAAAACAGAGTGAATGAGGGATGCACAGAACTGATCTCCGTTAGAAAGCAAACATGTAAGCCCCTAATTACCTTCATTTAGGTCACTGGTTCTTAACCTTGGAAAGTTTTTGTTTAAAAGAGAGTGAATGAGGGATGCAAAGAACTGCTCTTCGTTAGAAAGCAAAAATGTAAGCCCCTAATTACCTTCATTTAGATAATAAAAATCAACTTCTATGTGCTAGGGGAGGTAGAAGGACAAATTCTGTATAATGGACATTGCATATTAGTTTTATATTCCAGAGCTTTCAAGTTTTAACTTTTCCCATTGTTCGGTTCTCTGTAGGCTGAATTTAAGAAAATAAAGTTTTGGAGACAGTAACAATCTGAAGTCTGGACTTTGGGAGCACTGAAACATGGGACATTTTTGCAATCAAATTATGGGTGGATTTCTGATGGACAGACGCTAAGGGACATATTATATGAAGAATCCAACCAGAGATGCATTTGAACTGTTCATTAATTGCCTGTTTTTTTTTAATTGTCAGTCTTTGGAACCTCCCTAATTTTGTATGCAATATTTATTTAAAAATTACCCCCACAGAACTCCAGAAAGTAGCACGATGGGCACTTGCTACTTTCCCCAAGGGATCACTCCCTATAAAGGGACCTTCAGAAGGGGCCTCGGCCACCCTCAGAAGGAAGGCGGAACAGTTCTTACCGCCAGCCCATTCTTCCTAATGTCTGGGAAGTCTTGCGGACGTTCTGCACATCCAGGACTCACTCAGGACTTTCTAAACCAAAACCAGTGTGATGGGCAGGAGTGAACAAAAGGGGTTCTCTCTCTACCCTTAAGTCTAGTTTGAAGGCTTGAAAGCCTCTGTTTGCAAAGGAGTATTTTATTTATTTATTTATTTATTTGATTTGATTTTTACCCCGCCCCTCTAGACAACGTCTACTCGGGGTGGCTTACATCAGTTAAAACAAGTTAAAAAACATATAAAATGCATTTATACTAATTAGTTCTAAGCAACAGATTTCCAAGATGTTGATATACAAAAGAAAGAAAGAAAAGAAAAAGACAGAGAAAAAGAAAAAGAAAATCACTTAATTGACTGGGGGGAGGCCTGTTTAAAGAACCAAGTTTTTAATTGGCTTTTGAAAACACCCAGC